GTTTAGGACATTTGCGCCCATGTGGGATGTGTTCAGGGTGTCTTCAGACAAACTGGCCCTCTGTCACCTTGAGCTGATGAAGAAAATGAACGATCTCATCCGGGACATCAACAAGTACGGAGATGAGCAGATCAAAATTTACCGCAAGGTATAGTTCCTGGATGAACACAGTTTTATCTTGTCCTGCGTGGAGCCTCTTGTTCTGATGTAATTTATCTCTCAGAAAATCAAATTACTCCTCTTTTTTTCCCTTCATGGAAATTGCTAAATGTTCCCTTCAAGTATCAAACAGTAACAAGTGGTGCAGCACGACTTACTCTGTGTGTGTTAATAACCCAGACGAAGGAGGACATGGTGGGCACGGTGGAGGTGGTGCAGGCTCTGCAGGTCCAGAGCGGTCACCTTCAGAAGTCAAAGGAGGGTTACCAGGCCAAATGTTTGGAACTGGATCGGCTCAGGAAGGAAGGAGCTCCACAGAAAGAACTGGAGAAGGTTGGTCCAAAGTTTAGCGTTTATTTTGAATTTGCCTGCTGCTGTGACGAACCAATTTTTTATTTTATTCTATTTCTCAACAAAAGTTTTTAAACAAAAGTTAAAATATGTACTTTACACAAAGACATTCCAAGCAGTAACTACTTGTTTGTAAATGTTAAACGTAAATCAGAACTGTTTTTGATGAGCTTGTACTGGAATCTTTCAGTTATGTCTGGGTTGTCATTTTATTGTTGCCTGTCTTATCTGGATTTTTCTATTTAATATACATGTATTTGTGACTCATCACATCGAAATGAGGATTAAGTCAAATTTGGTCAAAATGACCTGATCATATTTTCAGATTCCTGGCTTTAAAAGCTACGTTTTACACTTACATCATCCTGATATCATTAGTAGATCCAGACATATTTTTTAATTTGTCTTGTTGGTTACAATAATACATAAATATTTGGTCTAAATCCTAATTTTATGTAATTTTAATGAGGATTTTTTTTATGTCATTTTAAAAAAGAAACCTCAAATAG